TCATCGGTGGGCTCTGCTCCTCCAGCCTGTGAGGGAGGGGTCAGCTTCTGTTGGGGGTGGACAGCAGCTTCTCTGCTCAGGTGTCTGTTCGGGGGGGGGTCTGACCGGAGGTCAGCTATTGGAGCGTGACCTCGGGGATTGTGGGAATCCTGATGGTACGCCCACTAAAGTCAGTGACCCCGGAAAAAGGCCCCCACAGGGCTGAAGGTCCAGACGGGTTTCCTGGACAGTCGAGTGTTCTGGTCGGATGGAACCTCACATCTTCTGAACAGATTTCCCACAGCCTGCGGGATTTCTGTTCATCTCAGAACAACTAAAAAGCTTTTTCTGGAGCATGTGAAAAGTAGCAGCCAGCTTCCTTTAAAGGGCACATATCATGCCAAAGCAAGTCATGTGATTGTGTACATGTGGGGCTGTGGAGGGCCTATCAGCACGCAGAGTGTGAAGAAAATGACTGTCATGTTTTAGTGGGCCGCCTCAGTCTGAATCCAGGAGATAAATCAGGAGGTTTCAGGAGTGGGTAGTTTCTGACGTCATTAGCTCTAGCTCATTATAATATTATTATTATTATTATTATTACATTAATATTATTAAATATTATCTAGCTCATTATAATATTCCAGACTTTCACCTGCATGTTGCCCCCCCCTCAGCTTACTCCCCTATCTGTGGAGACGTCCTGGTAGCGTGAGCGTTAGCATGGTAACGTTAGCGTGGTAGCGTTAGCATGGTAGCGTTAGCGTGCCGACGTGGGCGTACGCTCTGAACGGGGCTGTTTTGGGTTAGGGTTAGGGTTAGGGTTAGGGTTAGGCAGGGGGACTGAACTGCTATTGGGCTTCATCCTGATGGGATTCTGACCAAAGCTTGTCACAGACATTACATTAGGACGCCAGGGAACTAGCTTAACGTGTGGAAATAGGGTAGAATATGTCTCCTTTTCTGGGCAGCTTGCTCCTGTCTTCGTCTCCATGCCCCTTCTCTTTCTCAGCTCTCTCTCCTGTCCTCTTCAGCCATAAGTGCTCCGGTCGGTGAGCAGCTCCAGGTCTGCTGAGGTGGAGATGAGCTGATGGAGACCCTCTTGCTGGTGGAGCCGAGGCCTGCGTATCCAGAGCCCCGGGTCTGATCATCCGACATGGCGCCCTTACCTCCAGGCGTCCGCCTGCTGCTGTGCTTCCACAGTGAGCAGTGGTACGTCTGTGCTAACCTCCCAGAGGTCCCCTCAGAGCTCTGTGCTAGCAGCAAGTCCGTCTGGCTGCAGCCTGCAGGGAGGATGGATGTCCAACTCCGCCCACATCCAGGTCGGCCATTTTGATTAGGTCACCAATAGGAAGATCCCAGGCAAGAAAATCCTAATTGCTTCATGGCAATATAGACATTCATTTAAAAATAGTTAAATGAATCTTGCAAACATTGAATTAAACTCTATCCATAATATTATGTTAAAATAGTGGATGTTAAATAAGTTTGTACAATAAGTCCAAACAAGTTTAACCAAAAAATATTTATTTATCATCATTATGAAGGGTGGAGGGTTAGGGGTTAGGGTCAGAGTTAGGGTCAAAGTCGGGGTTAGGATTTGGGTCAGGGTTAGTGTTGGGGTTAGGGTGGAGGGTTAGGGTTAGGGTTAGGGTTAGGACAACTTTTATCTTCCGATTTTGTACAGACGGTAAAGTTTGGTTTCCACCTCAGAAAGCTGCTAGTCACATGACCTAATCGAAATGGCCGCCTTGGATGTGGGAGGAGTTGGAGATCCAGCCAAGGCTCCTGCAGGCTGCAGACAGAGGCTGCTCGGGATCTGGGGCCCTCCACTACCTTCGTGTCTTTTCCAGGATGGAGGCAGCGTTTTGTTGTTTCCTGTCCTTCACAAATGGTCTTTGTAACTCTCTCTTACACTGAGGTGATGCTTTCTGAGGTGGCTCAGTCAGCTCACAGACTGTGTTGCTCCTCATGCTGAGCCACATTCCTGCTCCCACAACCCCTGAGAGTGCATGTATGTGGCTGAGAGGAGCACACATTAAGGCCCAGTCAACGTGCAGGTTAGGGTTAGGGCAGGTTTCCTGCCGCTCCTCTCACAGTGGTCTGCTCTCAAAGGTCTTGTTTTGTCAAGCACTGAATAAAGACAGGAAAAAGACTTTTAAAGTCAGCTCTGTGTTTGGGTGCTGCCCCCTACAGTGGTGTCTCCCAGACTCGTCTAACATGTTTCATGTGTCAGTCAGACTCTTAAACCATCATCTGGGTTTGATCTAAAGTGCCGCTTTCACTCTGCTTCATGCCTCAGGTACAGAGCTGTGACCTTCATCCTCACCTTCCTACTCTACACTAGCTTCCACCTCTCCAGGAAACCCATCAGCATCATCAAGGTAACGTATTACAGTTTCTATAACAAACGTGGTGTGGGCCAATGCTGTGGTGTCACAAGAAGCTCTGCAAAACATAGAAAGTGCTGCTGTGCATGGTGGAGGAGAACAAAGGCCATTGAATCATGTCATATTGTTAGAGCAAAGGTCAGATTTTAGGTGGGGAACATGTTCAGTAATAAGCCTCTGTCACATGCTCTGAGGTAATGATCTGACTGGTTTAGGGCCAGTAAGGCCTGCACATCACTGCTGTCGTCCTGCTTCTGTATCAACAGAGTGAGCTTCATAAAAACTGCTCTTCTGCCATTGAGCTGTCCACCATGACGTCGGGCAGTGGTGGGAATCAAGAGCCCTCCCTATCGTCACTTCCCACAGACGTGGACTGCAGCTGGAAGCCCTTTGGTTGGTACATGCTCCACCTTTGTGGGGTTTTCAGTTTTATTACAAACCCCATTAACCCAGTCCTGTTGGATCATTCTGAACCTCATCTGGTTCTGTCATCACCACAAATAGGTCCTGTCAGGGTTTCATAGTTCCCCCGGTAGCTGCTCCCAGGCTGGTGGGAATCCGTTCCCACCTGTCCGCACTCCTCCCACACACCTGGCCTCCTCCTATTCGTCCCTCTGTGCCATTCCACTTTTACTCAGATGGGGTTAGCATTAAAACTGGGTACTTAAGATCACATCCTGTTTTCTACTCCTTCAGGTCCTTCACTGGGGCGTGTCCTACATGTCAGTAAATGATTATGTTATTATCTGTTTAGTTATAGTTTCAAAACTGGTAAAACAAAGAAAAGAATATCTTTATAAATTCTGGCCTGCATATGTACCAACCGCCAAAATAATATCCACTTAGTGGATCTTAAACGATGTGACCTTCTGAAAGAGGCTGCTAGCAGCTGATTTAGGAAATGTATATATACACAGGGTCACATGATGTCAATGTGTATACCCCCCATGTTCTGAAGTGCCACAGGGTCTACAACACCATTAGATAAGAGGCTCCATGAAGACCAGGTAACTGAGAGGTTAGGGATACATTTGTGTGGAGCTCCAAGTCAGAGTTGGGTTGTAAAAAGCATCAGAGAATTTGACAATCCCCATATTGCCAATAAATCCATTGTCACAACACTGAGGGACCCAGGTCCATGACAGCTTACTGAGCAAAGGACTGTCATGCCAGGTGAGGATGCCTGAATCAAAGAGCTGGTGTGTGTGTCCAGGGACCAGCTGACCAGAGGAGGCTGGATCGGGTCACCACTCAGTCTACTTAAATCCAGGATTAACTGGGTTTATTTTGTGTTCCCAGATAAAAGTAACTACAAACAGCTGCTGGGAGCCCTGGACTACTCCTTCCTGTGTGCCTACGCAGTGGGAATGTTCCTCAGGTGAGATGTTAGCTTTGGTGCCGCAGGCTGTTGAGCTTACCATATTCATATATTTCTACATAATCTGATAATTAAAAATGTGCATTACACAGCATGATTTTTTATATTTAGCTGTTTTCAAAGATTACGAGGTCTGGCTAAGACATGAGGAGTAGACATGTTATTTATTCTGTCCATGTAACAAGCCAAGGAAAGCTAAATACAAACCAAAATGAACATCTCGGAACATCCAAAAGTATCTGTGCCTACAAAGAATGAATTTGATTCTACAAACAGGCGCCCTTCATTGGGTAGGTTAGAGGCTCAGGGTGCAGTGGTTCTGTCACCTGCCCACCATTGTACTGGGAGTGTGCACTCTGTCTTTATGGGGGTTGCTGTGATGAAGTCACGTCACTGCCGTCCTTCCACCCAGTGGCATCATTGGAGAGCGGCTGCCCATCCGGCTGTACCTCTCCGTGGGCATGCTGGCCAGCGGCCTCTTCACCTGCTTATTCGGGCTGGGATACGTTTACAACATCCACAGTCTGGCCTTCTACATATCCGTCCAGGTGAGCCCCCCGGCAGAGCCACGGTGGGCAGCACAGCTCAGGGGGACTAACGCAGCTCAGCCTTTTGTTCCAGGTGGCCAATGGCCTGGTCCAAACCACCGGCTGGCCCAGTGTGGTGACCTGCATTGGTAACTGGTTTGGAAAGGGACGGTAAGGAGGAGCTAGTACTAGTAGAGGACAGATCCGGCTGAGGCTGCTTGGAGGCAGACGGGGCCTCAGCTGATGGTCTGGCTGTGTGCTGCTCATTGTGCTCCTGTTAGGCGTGGACTCATCATGGGCCTGTGGAACTCCCACACCTCAGTGGGAAACATCCTGGGATCTCTGATCGCTGGTTACTGGGTCTCTTCTAACTGGGGCCTGTCTTTCATTGTTCCGGGACTCATCATTGCAGCCATGGGCCTGGTGTGCTTCCTCTTCCTCATTGAGCGTAAGTAGTCAGCCCTCAGCTCTCTGCTGGTTCAAGCATCACATTGAGCTCTGATCCATTTCCCCCTGCAGATCCCAATGACCTAAAAGCCACGTTTGCTCAGAACCGGTCTCAAAGCAACAGTGTGAGTGCTTTTTCTTCTTCTTCTTTGACTAATGGCCATTGCTGGGAAAGCTTGTGTTCTGCGTTTGGAACTGAGGCTGCTTTGAGAAAGGACCATTGTCTAAACTGCGCCATAGCGATGGTGCTCTCTTCACCTTACCAGCTCAGTGTGGCATGCCAACAGTCCCTTTATGAGTTTCTGTATTTTAAGAAGACGGCTTGTGATGGTGAGAAACAAACTGAAGCGTAGCAGGTGTGTGTGGCTCATTCCCAGGTTCCTGCTAAGAGTTGGAGAGGAGCAAATGGACATGCTGAGGCTCAGTACAAGGACAACAGAAAACAGGTAACTATCTTTGTGTGGGTGGTCCGTGTAAAGCTGAACTGGGTGTCCTTCATTTTCACCCGTCCGGGTTGTGGGCTCAGCTGTTTCAGGAGGGAATCCCAGTCACCCCTCTCCCCAGGGACACCCCAGCTCCTCCTGGGAGTCCCCGAGGCCTTCTCAGGCCAGAGGGGATACATAGTCCCTGAAATCAGATAAGGTTGTTCACATAGGTAGGATACCTGCTGGTCACCACCCTTTGGAGTTTTTCAGGCATGTGAAGAAATGCAGAATAGTCTAAGAGAATGAATAGCCGTGTGGCCTGGGAACAGTTTGGGATCCTCCAGGAGCAGGAGAGGGGTCACTGTTGTGTCCAAGACCTGAACTCAGGAAAATCAATGAATTTTAGTGAGTGCAGTACGGCGACTTTAACAAAGTGTTAGCTGTGTGAAAACAAACAATGAACATGTCAATTCTGAATGTTTTCTCTGTCCGTGCTCATTGGTCTTTTTCTTCCTTGTGTGAGGCCTGCCTCTGTCATCCTTTTGCCTCTGACCTCTTTCTGTCCGTCTTCGCATTAACTTGAACAAAACCTGTGATAGGCTGCTGTCCACTGACACGCCTGCTCAGACATGTCGGCCCTCACCGTTCGATGGCGGGAGGCTGCAACATTATCATCTAGTGTGTGAACCACTTTCTCTGAATGAAGGGAGGACTGTCCCGGCTGGGTGTCCAAGCATCCGATTCCTGCTTAGTACCCATGATGTTAAAGCATGAACTCTTCTAAAGGAGTCAGGAAAGAATCGGGTAGCGCTTTGAACAGCTGCTCAGCAGGAAGAAGGGCCAGCCACCGACTCTTTCCTCTTTCTGTTGAGGTGTGCTGCTGGTTCGGATCAGATAGGTGTTTGACCTTCTTCTGATCTTCTGCCCTCGTACAGAGCTATGACACAGAGCTGCTGCTGCCCAGGGACGGTGTGCGTGTCCCCGTGCAGCCCGTGGTGGTGGTGAAGAGCGAGGCTGAGCCGTCGGCCATCAGCTTCATGGGGGCCCTAAGGATTCCAGTCAGTACCGTCCTCACATTGGGAATGAGAGCATGAGTGGAATGTGTATCTGAGAAGGTGTCAGCACCAGTGGACAGGGGGGTGGTGCTGTTTGTTGTGTCCTTTCAGCTGTTTCTGATGGCAGCAGCTTACTAATGAGGATGTCTGTCTGTGCAGGGGGTGATTGAGTTCTCTTTGTGTCTGCTGTTTGCCAAGCTGGTCAGTTATACTTTCCTCTTCTGGCTGCCACTGTACATCACCAAAGCTGGTGAGTACCAACAGAAAGAGGCTGGCGTCCTGCAGGAAGTGTGGGTTAGACACTGGGTTAGGGTTAGGGTTAGACTGGGGGTTAGGGTTAAACTGCGGGTTAGGGTTAGGCTGTCGTTTAGGGTAAGCCTGTGGGTTACACACTGGGTTAGCGTTAGGCTGTGGGTTAGGGTTAGCCTGTGGGTTAGACACTGGGTTAGGGTTAGGCTGTGGGTTTGCGTTAGGCTGTGGGTTAGGGTTAGGGTTAGGCCAACAGCTAACTGTCTGTATTTGGGGTTCTCAGCTCATCTGGATGCAAAGAAAGCGGGAGACCTGTCCACCCTGTTTGACGTCGGGGGAATTGTCGGTGGGTCTCCAGGTTTTCGGTTCGTCTGGCTCATGCTGGTCTCTGTCTCTGGTCCCGTTGTGTGCTCAGTTTGGGCTCCTCTCTCCACAGGGGGGGTCCTGGCCGGGGTGATCTCTGATAAAGTGGGAAAGAGAGCCAGCACCTGTGCAGTGATGCTCCTGCTGGCTGCTCCCACGGTGAGTGGCTGTGGGCCTCTGTGGCTTTAGCAGAGACTTCCACAAACAGGGTCCCCACACAGAGCCTGTGGGCGCCCGGTGCTGGGGGCTGTGGGAGATGAGGCAGAAGTGAGAGAGGATGGGGTGACTGTGTGGAGCTGTTTGAAAGTGTCTGTGAAGGAGCTGCTCTGCTGACGGCTGTCTGTCCTGCAGCTCTACGGCTTCTCCATGATCAGCGAGCTGGGCCTGAGGCCGACTGTCGGTGAGAGACCCTTACTCAGACACTCCCTGTACTCAGACATGCACCAGCCAGTGAAACACGTTAGGGACGTCCCCATCCAGATTTCTGATCCGATCCCGGCCTATCAGAGCCTGTCCTAAAGTCTAAAGTTATTTATCTACTTACTTAGCTGTCAGACTCATGTTGAACAGGGATTTATCTGATAACAACTTAACGGTTAGGACACAGACCTGTGGGTTACAGATGCTAATGCTAATGCTCCTGTGGGATCAGACTTTAAAAAGGAAATGGATCTGGAGTGTTTTTTCTCATGCCGGCCGATACGTAGTTTTTGGGAAATATCGGATCCAGATATGGGATCGGGACAGGCCTAATCCACATAGACACATTCAGCTGATTCAACTTAAATCTTCTGTAATAATAAAAGAACCAGTCAGCTCACTTTTAGTTCTTTTACTTTACAGCTCAGTTTTTTAAGCCAGTTTTGTGTGATCAAATCCATAAGGCATGCTTGCGTGTTTCAGGACAGGCAAAGGAACATGAAGTCATTGTGGTGAGCTTTACTGGGGATCCCCCAGACTTCCTGTTTCGCCGACTCCCGTAAATGATGAGAATTCAAATCACAGACTTAATTCAGACTAATGTCTGGGCCTACAGCAGCAGCCCTGTGGGCTCACCTCAGCCGTCCTTAACTGTAAACCTTAAAACAGGAAGGTTATCCTAAAGGTAGAGAGGGAAGTAAAATGTTCAGGGTGGACGAGCTCTGTGGAGGAATGCGGTGTAAAGGCCAGTTGGAAATGTTTTCAGGGATGTTGCTGGTCTGTGGAGGTCTGGTGAACGGGCCCTATGCTTTGATCACCACTGCAGTATCAGCCGACCTGGTAAGCTAAAGTGCCCCGAACTGAGCTTCGTAGAGCAACCTCATCACCGTGTGCTCAGCTAGTCCTCATTCTGCTGCGTTCCTGTCTTTGTGCTTTAGGGAACCCACAAAAGTCTGAGAGGGAACGCCCGGGCTCTGTCTACTGTCACTGCCATCATCGATGGAACAGGCTCTGTAGGTCAGTACACACTGTTTGTAATCGCTAGTCTTTTTCCCTCCTCCGACTTGTCATCCTGGTCTTGTTAACTGTGGACTATGAAGCTGGAGGTAACTGGGTTTTACTGGGCAAAGCTATTAAACAGCAGATCTCCTACCCTGAGGGTCCAGGCTTACACACGTTTGCTTAACCCTACTGAACCCAGCTGCATAAGCATTTCTTCAAAAGGTTCCAGAGAGATGGACTTTGCTGTGAATGGAGTTAGGTTTCCAGCTGGCTGATAATGGATGTGGACCAGTTGTGACCAGATACACAAGGAGCAGCATCAGACATGAGCTTAATAAGATCTCATGAAGGCTTTTGGAGAGAAGTGTGATACTGTATTTTCTCCAAAGCAACATGTCTCCTTTATACTTATCCTTTAAAATGAACTACAAGACCAGGATGAGTTCATTTGGATTTTCTTGGGAGTCTTTAAGCTCTTAGCCTGCCAGGCTAATTCAGCTCCTTTATTCCCTCTATGTGCCACAGGATTTGTGAAATGCTTTTCAAAAGAAGCTCGATTTGAATTATTCCTTTGTTCTGACCTATTGCATATTTACCACCGGAGTGGTAAATGACCTGAGTTGACTCTGGTTGCTCCACCTGTTTCTGGTGGCAGGCGCTGCTCTGGGGCCCCTGCTGGCCGGCCTGCTGTCTGCAGGTGGCTGGGACCAGGTCTTCTACATGCTGATGACCGCTGACTTCCTGGCCCTGCTGGTGAGTTAGACCAGAGTCCGGATCATCAAAGCCTCTGAAACTGAGCTGTTTTCAGTAAATGATGAGTGAAACGTTGCTCTCCAGAAATAGACTGTAAATATCCTTGTTTTTAATGTTTGTAGCTTTTGTTACGACTTGTGACGAAGGAGCTGACCTCATCAAAATCCCGTTCCATCTCCTCTGTTGAGTAAGTCTTCATCCCGGTTGTTTTTTCTCTCACCATAAAGGTATTTAGCCCATTAACGTGAGTCAAACGTTGAAAAAGGAGGCAGATGAGGGGATTGTCTGAGTGTGAGTCCATGTGTCAGCAGGCTGTTGGTGTTTCTGCTCCTCACAGGCTGAAGAAGCACTGAGCAGTCTGAGGGCCCAGCTGCTGCCCCCCCCCC